TGTGTATGTCATAATAAAAAACTGATATAATTATATATTATATACATAACATAATATGACGTCTCTTATCCCCGAAAGGGTAGGCAGAGTTGCACTTAATGCCACTGTACAATGTAACACCCACTTTTCACTATTTATGTTATGAGTCCCATGTAATTCTTATGACTTAAAACAATCCTGAAAATCCTACGGGAACCGGAGAAAACGAGATTGCGCGTACGAAGTCGCGGGCAGAAACTAGTTCATAATAAAAAGAACTAATAATTGTATAATTCTTTTGTAAACTGCGTTTCAAAAAACTAACTTTAATCCCCTCTTTTTTTGAAGTCGGTTAATTAATACGTATATTAAAACTTTTTGATAAGTGTACGAAACACTTTTCTGAAAAACCGACAAAAAGACAATCACGCACAAACATAGATACATACAAGCCGAGCTAAGAACCTCCTTTTTTTTGAAGTTGGTTAAAAACGTGATAAAAGCATTTGTTACAATCTTATCTTATACTATTATATAAAGCGGAAGAGTTTGTTTTTTTGTTTGTTTGTTTGAACGCGTTAATCTCCGTAACTACAAGTCTGATTTGAATAATTCTTTTTGTGTTGGATAGCGAATTTATCGAGGATGGCTATAGGCTATGAAACATCACGCTACGACCAATAGAAGCTGAGGAGAGCGTGTGAAACCGCGCGGAAGTAGCTAGTTATGAATAATTATATAACACTATTCTCTTTTGATTTTACATAAATTTTCTAATAACTGTTTTTTGGGGATAGCATTGTATCGTAATTTTGACAAGTTTGTCAGTACGTCTACATTATTTTTGCACGCCGCTGATGTTGAAGGCAAAATAAGAGGACCTAATCTACTATATACAAATAAGTCGGGATTTCGTTCCTGACGCTATAATATACTACATAATTTAATACTTTAATTCTAATGTAGACAATCTAGTTTCTTTATGGCATCGAGCATTTCTTTCTTTATTGAAACAAAGAGTTTCCTTTTTCTTGTATAGAAGAACTATTTCTATGGATTGTCAGTATGCGTATGTGAGCACCATATTAGACTTAAGATCTTTATTATTTTTATTTTTATTTTAGTAAGTTATTAGTATAATGCGTCAAGCGTATCTTTGCATTGTTCTTACATATGCGTACAGTATTGAAATATGTATCAGAGACATTGTAGAACATACTTTTTTAAAAGAATAACGAATGGAGTTTATTGCTCGTTCTTCTCCAGTCGAATCTACGTTTTGGAATGAGCACCTAGCTTCACCTAGCTTCACTGACGGACTGACTGACAGACTATTATTTATTTTGTATTTGTTGACGTTTCAAAAGTACCAAACTATGGTTTAATTGAAATAAATGCTTTGACTTTGACTTTATAACTCCACAACGCACGAACCGATTTCCACGGTTTTGCATTCGTTGGAAAGGTCTCAGGCTCCGTGAGGTTTATAGCAAAGAATGTTACATAAAACGAAGCCATCTAGTGGCGAAACGGAGTTCGCCGGATTGCTACTATTATAAAATTACAAAGTATCAGTACCTAAATAAAAGCAAATAAATAATTTATTGAAATTTGAATTTGAAAAGCCACCCTGTTTCTACTCCTATTCTGAGCCGGGACCCTATATAGTATAGATAGCCTCCAAGCCTATCAATGTCGCGGAGAACCTAACGGGTAACCGGGGCTCCGGCTCGACGTGCAGGAGAAGGAACGGGGTGGTTTTTAGTCAGTATGAGTCTGACACTCCCTCCTTCCTCACCCAGGCGGGAGAAGACATTCGATGGTTTTCTCCCTTTAAAAAAAGGGCCTATCGATAAAAATACCGTTTCTGATCATGAAATCTAATCTCCTGTCTCTTTCCCACAGCTGTTCCAAACGATATTCCTGACTGTATCGCTGGTGTACGATCTGATGGAGTGGCTGGACAGACACGACTCCAGGCTGGGCAGGAAGCTGCGGTTCACCAGGGACGTGATGTTCTCTGGTCTTGTGGTACCTTTGACGCTGGTGAGTTATCAGTAGCAGTGTATCATCATCATCAACAGCCTATAAATGCCCACTGCTGAGCAAAGCCTCTTCTCACACGGAGAAGGTTTGAGCATTAATCACCAGTCACCATGCTTGCTCAATGCGGGTTGGCGATTTCAAACTTATAATTAGAAATTATAAGTCCAGGTTTCCTCACGATGTTATCCTTCACCGTTTGTCAGTGGTGTCTAAATAATCTTAGAAAGTACATATAACTCGGAAAAGTCACATTGGTACTTGCCGTTCGCGTTGGTAGGTTTCGAACCTGCATGAGAAGCGGGCCACCACGACATAGTCTAGCAGTGTGTAATAAAGTAAAATTAATACTTAATAAGTAAATTATGATGAAAAACTGGAACGCAACTCCATTTTAAATCATGCTTAACTCGTCGAGTACCGTCATTATAGACACAATTATAGAACAATAGGTTGCGGTCACCGGTGACCGCTTGGTGTTTGACAGTTTAAGTGTAGTTCTATACATAACAAAACACGCCTTTTAACCCCGACGGGGTAGGCAGAGGTGCACATTACGGCACTTAATGCCACTGTACTGTGTAACACCTACTTTTCACTATTTATGTTTCGAGTCCCAGGTAATAGCGGGTGAGCCTATTGCCATATACCGGGCACAATTCCAGACTCCGACTACTACTGAGATTTTTTGAATCGAACCCGAAACCACTGGTCCAGTAGTCCCACTTCCGACCACTCGGCCATTGAGGCAGTCTTAATTCGTCAGGTGTTACTATTTTGCAATTCAAAATGGCTGCTTTAGAAAAAGACTGACAAAACCACAAAACATTCTGAACAATGAAACTACTGTAAAATAACCAATTTCAATCTCTTTCCAGTTCATATCATCAATGTTCTGGACGCTGTTCTGGATCGACCGGGAGCTGGTCTTCCCAGAAGTCTACGACCAGCTCGTCCCATGGTGGTTCAACCACTGTGTCCATACGAACATAGCTATCGTTGTGCTCATTGAGACCGTGCTGCAGGCCAGGAGACACCCAACTCATTATAAGCTTGAGTTGTGGCTGACAGGTGGCGCTGGAGTGCTGTATGCTATCGTGTAAGTAAAGTCAAAGTCAAAGCATTTATTTCAATTAAACCACAGTTTGGTACTTTTGAAACGTCAACAAATACAAAATAAATAATAGTCTGTCAGTCAGTCCGTCAGTGAAATTAGGTGAAGCTAGGTGCTCATTCCAAAACGTAGATTCGAATGGAGAAGAACTAGCAAGAAACTCCATTCGTTACTCTTTTTTAAAAAAAAAGTATGTTCTACAATGTCTCTGATACATATTTCAATACTGTACGCATATGTAAGAACAATGCAAAGACACGCTTGACGCATTATACTACTAACTTACTAAAATAAAAAAAATAAAATCTTAAGTCTAACATGGTGCTCCCATATGCATACTGACAATCCATAGAAATAGTGCTTCTATACAAGAAAAAGGAAACTCTTTGTTTGAATAAAGAAATAAATGCTCGATGCCATAAGATCGATTAACGATCATGTGATCAGTCACATCAGGACCGGGCAGCAGCGGTCCTTGATAAACCTGAACCTTCTAAAAGATTGCGACCGGCGAGGTTAAAAAAAACATAGAAATGAAATGAGCAAGCCAAGTGAAGCGGCGAAATGTATCGGGCGAATAGCACCGGCGAGTGAAACAAATGATTGAATCAGTAAGACGCCAGTCTTATTAAACTTAGAACGATTTTTTCTGTAGCCAACATTCAGGAAAACGAAAGTTCAAAGATTTTATTATTGGTTAACTTTGTTTTTTTATGAAGTTGGCTAAAGTCTGTTACCAATTGTCAGAAATTGAGTTATAAGTTCCGCCTCTTATAACGACATGCTCTGTATTGTACTCCATTTTCCACATAAACTGATCTTCCTAAAGAGGGTAGATGTCTAATTCTTTTTTTAATGTCCGTCTGGTAGATTATTCAAAAATATTAGACACGTATTTTTTATTTTCTTGCGGAAACGAATAGTATTGAAGATATATTGATTTGAAATATCGCATGACGTCACTTTTGAGTACGATTTATACTCTAAAATGACATAGCTACCTCCCACTCCTAAACTTTGATTCGTTTTATCTAAGTATTGTTTTATTATACAACAAATAATAATACGTGTCTAATATTTTTTAATTACCTAACTGACGGACTAATTAGATTTTTAATGTTCATACCCTGTCATCATCCCTATTATCATTACAGGTACTACACAATATATTTCTGCACCCACCGCTGGCTATATGGAGTCTTCGGTATCATGACCTGGTGGCAGGTCTGTCTCTACCAACTCCTGATCTGGTCATCCACCTTCCTCTTCTACTACATCCAGTTCCCTATCAACAGAATATTCCATCGAGAAGAATCCACTACAGAGAAGAATGTAACTCAAGAGCCAAAGAATGGCGTGCCAAACAATGGTTTTGAAGAACCGTCGTCTGGCGTGCCAGAGTCTTGGCTGAAACAACGACCGAAAAGCCAGTTTGAAAATTCTAGCTTTTGATATCGATTCTCGTGGGTTTTGGTTTTATAGATTATGGATTTTGGATTTTTCGCCCACCTTGAGAGTCTTGTTAGGAGATTTGAGAAACAAATGAAGTTTTTTCCATTTTTCATAATTAAGGGTTAGTGAAAAACCAAATCTGATTAAATACTACATTTTTCATTATAGAAAAATAGAAACATTTCGATCTTATTTTATCCAAATAGGTTCAGGAGTTTTAAGGTAAAACAGCAATGAACAGCGATATTTCCCGTAATTAACCTTCCCGTTATGTAATAAAATACAGAAAAATGGAATGTGCAAATTATTGTTAATTAATTAATTATATGAAAAAATATTATATGAGAGTTATAAACATGAAATTTATGGCAATTTTATTACTTATTAAATATAAATAGTACGTTTATTATATCATTTAAATACTAGCTGTTGTTGTCGTGGAATAGTGATTCACAGCTCCTCCCCCGTAGGTGATAGCGTGATAATATGTAGCCTATATGTTGACCCGACCTGTTAGTAATATTGATGCAAAATTTGAAGTAAATCCATGCAGCACTTTTTGAGTTTAGCCCGGATATACATACAGACAAACAGACAAAAATTATATAAACCATATATTTAGCTTCGGTGCCGTTTGTAGATCACAACCCAAGCATTATTTAAAAAAAATATTCAATGTACTGTTTCCACTTTCCTACGATTTTATTATATTTATTTATAGACTAGCTTTAACCCGCGGCTTCGCTCGCGTCACAAAAGGATAAAAAGTGGCCTGTGACATAATAATATACCAATACACACAGCGCCATCTATACCAATACTTTTGTTTTCCCTCGGGAATATCAAATGTTTTTCGGGATAAAAAGTACCCTATTATTTAATCCAGACTTCTAACTTTACGTCTGCAAAAAATCAAAGCAATCGATTTAGTAGTTACGGTGTGAAAGCGGAACAAACAAACAAATAAACTCACTTTCCGATTTATAATATTAGTAAGGATAAGGATTATATTATTATATGTGTAATGCAAGTAAATAGAATATTTTTTGTATCCTTATAGACGTAATTAAGACATTTTTGTTCTTAAAACGATACCAAATCACCAAATGAGTTTGTAACGTCAATTTTATATCCATTATAAAGTACGATTGTCAAAAATGGGGTCTCTGGTTCAACCTCTCGCTCAGGTAAAGTAGTATTGAATATTTCGATTTTGTAAATCCACAGTAATATAACAATGTCTGAAAAGAGAAATAGTGAAAAGTGCTTTTATTTAAATATGAATTCAATGTTATAGAAATACATAAACATATTGTTAAACCAAAGACATTTTCGAAATTAACTAAAACTCGCGGGTTACTCACGTTAATATATTGAGAAAAGCTCTACTAGTTTCGAACCACAGAGGGGTTCTTCCTCATGAGCAGCGTGCGCGGCAGTGCTTAGCCACCACCCCTGTTGAATCAAGGACGTCGACTAATCTCGATGGTCTCTCGCACTTTTTGCGGAACGAAGTATTTTTCATGTTTTCGGCCCACTCACGTAGTAATTTGACGAGGAACTCGACCAGTAGCAGCGCGACAGTCGCCGCGTCGCGGGTCGCGAAATCTGCTCATAAATATGAGCCTCTAGTATGGCTTTGAACTAGTCGAGTTCCTCGTCAAATTACTACGGGAGTAAGCCGAAAACATAATAATTTATTTAGTATGTCTCACGAAAGTTACAATACGAAGTATTTTTCTCTCGCTAGTACGGAGACCTTATCAAACCGTGTCCGTACCGCACACATGTTCGTCCAGTGCCGATGCCTGGATATCCACCTTCTTCACGCTGCGTATATGTCTGTGGTTCGAAACTAGTAGAGCTTTTCTCAGTATATTCACGTGAATAACCAGTGATTTTAGTAAATTCTCGAATGGTGTTTAAATATTGTCGGTTTTTTAGTGTTGTCAAACATATATTTGCCGATTTCAATCTTTATAATTTATATGTGCCAATCGCAAAATCGCATTCTATACCAATGATGAAATTGGAACTGCATAATAACACTGCATAACTGAAAAATCAAATCAAATATATTTTTGACATAGGAAACTACCCAATTATAATGATCGGTAAGAAATAATAAAAAATAAGAATGCATCGATCAACATCTAATTTGGCAATGCCTAAAAACGAACTTAAATTAGATCTGTTTAGCATACATAGTTCCAAGTTCTAAATGTCAATTAATCCATTTATATGATACTAAAACAAGATATATAATACACTAATTTAATGACATAAATTAATAATACAGTAGGTAACTAATTTAACATGTTTTATAAAATATTATTCTAGAACAATATATTTGTAAAAATATTATTCTAGAACTTCTTAATTTTGATCATAATGTTATTCCTATTTATATCTGCATAAAATTTCATTTTAATTTTTTATGGTACAACCCTGTAAACGAACATACAGTTAAAAGTCAACGTCAAAATCAAGGTCAAAGTCAAAGTCAAAGTCAAAGTCAAAATAATCTATTTCAATTAAACCAGAAAGGCACTCTTGAACGTCAACAAAAAATTAAAAGTGAACCTATTTGCTCATTCCAAGGTTTAGATTCTTATGGAGAAGAACGAGTAAGAAACTCCATAGGTTACTCTGATTATAATTATCTGATGATAAGGAATTGGCGTTGTTACAAGTGCGATACCGGCCTTTTGGGGATTAAAAATTTGAGGATTGTTGCGGATGGGTGGTGTAATTGGGCCTTCGGTAACCTCCCTCATTCGACATGACGTAAGCGTTGTTTCACGTCGGTTTTCTGCTCGGCCGTCGTATCACTCCGGTCGAGCTGGCCTATTCGTGGCGAAGCATGGCTCTCCCACACCTTAGTACATACGTTACAAAATAACATATTTACACGTCAATATTAAATATAAATATAATCTAGATTAGGCCGTCATTTCACTACTGACTACTCTGCGAAGAAATAACGAAATAATATAGAAATTACTGTAAAGCGATTTCATTTTAATTTTAAGTGTGGGGGGATCATAAATTGTCTTCTACCGCCTTGGTTGAGGCGAGAGGGAGTGACAGACTCCTACCGACTAAACACGACCCCGTTCCTACTCCTGCTGTGAAAACCCCGGTAACTTATTGTGCTTTATAAACAAATCCTGGCTGGAATTGAAGAGAGCGATTGGCAATTGTTTTAAGATTGAAGTCGTCTAACAAAGCAATAATTTATTTAAGAATTTTATATTAGAATGATATTTTAGTAAATAAGTAACGCAAATATAGTGAAATATTAATTATTATGTTGTTTAATTTATATTTAACATGGGGTATTCAATTCTCAGTTCCCTTTTCGGCAAGTTACGTAGAGTTTTTTTAAAGGGGGAATATCATCGAATGACAGCTCCCGCCTGGGTGAGGCGGGAGGGAGTGTCAGACTCTTATTAACTAAAAACCACCCCGTTCCGTTTCCTGCACGTCGAGCCGGAGCCCCGGTAACCCGTTAGGTTCTCCGCGACTCCGAATAGCATCAGCCCTGTTGGGCCGATCCGTGGTGGTCTGATGGCTCTTTGAGGCGCGCGCGGAACGCGACGCACCGTACGCTCGAGTCTGTTTCTGGTCGGACGGGGAGCCACCCAAGAGGTTGTTCTTAGAGTTTTTGTGTCTATCTATTATGATATTATATTATTTTCCATATTAAACCCAACTCCATGCTGCTAGGTCGCTATAAAACCTAAAGATTACATTGAAAATTATGTAATTTCTGCTAAAATTAATAAAATGTACCTAAAATACCTAAGAT